TTTAGTGAACAAATGATTAAAGGGGTAAAAGAAAAATAATGAATATTGAAAAAAAATTTGTTTTTTCTTAAAAATTATTGAAGATTATAGGAATCTATAATTCAAAGGAAAATAGTACTATTGATATAATTCGATGTTTCCCTGACAACGTCCTGGACACATATCAAAACACAAAGTATAAAGTGGAATAAAAATACAACGGTTTCCTAAAACTTCATTTGTACACAAAAGCATGTCATTCCGTGATTTGAGAAGTATTTAAATAACATTTTTTTGCAATAAATATTACGATACGAAAGACATATGTATAATAATTGTGTTTATTACTTGATAGATTTTACGGAAATAATGAGAGTTCTTGGTTATCCCAGGCTCATTTCTGTCGGAAATTTTCGATTACCAAATTTTCCATTGGTTGCGGAAATTCTTGTCTGGCTGGTCAAAAGATTTGATCCAGATGCAGATATATCTGGCGAACATAATACCGAAGAAGAACGTATTTCATTAATACGCGCTGTTGCTGAATTCATGGTAATAAAACTTTTTACCATTTTAAACTTCTATGTTATGTTTAATTAAATTAAATTTGTTTTTCTATTACTGAATCTTATATTTTACATTTCCCTGAACTATATTATATTTTATTTGCCTATTACTGCCTGAGATCAATTTTTTATTTTTAAGAAATTGACTTTTATGATAAGATTTTATGATATTTTTCTTTACTAACGAAATTAAAAACAAAATAAAAATATTACATTAAGATTAATTTTTAAATGAATTATAATTAATTATATAATACAAATTCAAGTTTTACATTTATGTTTTATGCCTTTTATTTATTTCTAGGCTCTGAAAACAAATGTCAAATTGAACACAAAGAAATTATACCAAGCTGATGGCTATGCTGTAAAAGAGTTATTGAAAGTAGCTACATTATTATATGATGCTCAAAATAATAGTAATAATAGTAATATAATGTCAGATGATAATTTTAATGTAGTTAGTTTTGACATTTCTGATAAAATAAATGAATTGAAGTCAACTAGGCAACTGGCTAGTCAATTGACTGTTACTGGTGCATCGCTATTTGATTTATTAGGACGTGAAGTGGATTTGAGAGAAATTCGTAATTCAAAGGTTGCTAGGCAATTTGATACATCTGAAATTGAGGCTGCCTTAAAAGATGTTATTGAAAATATACATAAAGAAATTGATGATACCAAAAAACAAATTGAGAATGTAAAGGTATTGTTACTTTTGTCATTTTATTGGAAAATTTTGATTTTTTATGTAACGTTTTCTAATTATTTAAGGATACAGAACAAAACTTAGATACAAGAATTGAAAGGCGACGTGCAGAACTTGACAGGAATCAAAAGAGATTGCAAACATTAAAAAAAGTACGTCCAGCTTTTATGGAGGAATTTGAAAAGCTTGAAGTTGAATTGAGGGCATTATACGATGACTATATTCAAAAATTTCGTTATCTCGCATATCTAGAACATCTATACGAAGATGCAGCTAAAGCAGAACAAGAAAGATTCGAAAGACGGTACATATATGAACTGTAAAGAATAATAAAGAATAATATTCATGATACAAAGGCATAACATAACATTTTATAACTTATAACAGGCAAGAAGCAACACGAAAACAATTAGAAAAGATGAGAGCAGAAGATGCGAATTTTGAAAGCATGATGGAAGGAAATGACTCTATATTACCCACTAATCTTCAAGAACCTCCACCTCCTCTTGCTAATACAGAAAAACAAAATACCGAAAAAACAACACCAAGTAGTCGGTTGAAATCAGGTAAGAATATAGTACAATTTTCTTTTTACCATTTTTTAAAAAACTTCTTATAATATGTAGTCTTTTTTAACAAACGTAGAATAATAACTATTTTGTAAACATATTTATAAATACAATAGCTGGCCGATCATCAAGGATGCAAATATCACAGCGTCGTATTTACGGAAGCATGTCTGGACGCCAGAGAGGAACTATTCAAGAATCAAATGACAGTGGTGGTTCGCTAGACAGTGACAGTGATTTGTTAATCGATGGTGATCTCGATGACGATGACGACGACGATATTCTGGATTCTGTAGGAGGACCAGAAATCGGGAATTTTGATTTGAAGGTTGGACAAGAAAAACGAGCCGTTAGTAAGCTAGATCATTCGGATGAGGATTTTTAACCATTACAAAAAACAATTACAAAAATCTCAAAATATACCGTCCATGTAATTATCGATCTCTATGCGCATATTTTTACAATAACTGTAAATAGGTATCAATAAAAAGTAATATATCATTAGTTTTTGTGATCGAATAATTTTGACGGTGGTAAAAAATACTTAAGATATATGTGTATATATATATAATATATAAGACATACTAGTGTTAAATAATTTTAAATTCAATTATTCATATAATTGTACATGTATTCCAGACTTATATTTACGAAATATATTTTCAAGGGAATCAAAATACATATTGTCGTCGTATAATATTTATTAACTTTCTCAACACGACCAAATGGCATGTTGATTGTGGCTTAGCACCGATCACATGTACGTATTCACCTATCCTACATGCTGTGTACGTAAATGCACGTACACTTTTGTGTATACACATATATACATAAATGTATGTGCGCGTAAAAAATGTGACATTATGAAAGAAATAGAAACAGTTTGCAGTATTCATTGTCATAACGCTCAAATCTGTAATCTCTATCTAACTGACAATAATGCTCTCTCCTTTGTTGCCATTGTGAGCAGAATTAACAATTACGTTCACCTCGAAATGCAGCTACCATTATGTAACAACGTTTCTCCAAAATCACTTTCTGGGGATAATAAAACCTATTCGCGAGACTGCTCGATAACGAATAAAATTGTAAAACGCAACCAATGTTAATTCCCTATAGAAGATGAACGAATTCCTCCTCGAACTGAAACGTCCTTCGTAGCGTAATCCACCGATCGTATACAAATCGGTGTTTACAAACGACGATGCGTGTAAACGGCATTTTAAAAACATTACGCATTCTACGCGTTCGCTATCAGATTAAATACTAGATGTTCCTAGATACATATTATACATACATAAACTACGACTAAGTATTGATCCTATGGATATGCGTACGTTTTTTTTTTTTTTATACGTTGTGCGGATTTATAGGTGTCGAGAGATAGAGAGAGATAGAGAGAGAGAGAGAGAGAGAGAGAGAAGAGAGAGGAGAGAGAGAAAAGAGACGTATCAACAAGACAACAATATAATATCAGATATCTCACATTATAGCCGATTAATGTAGACCGAAAACATAGGCCCTGCGTGGTAACTTCTACAATCTCATCGTGTAACCGGTTTCATACATAGATCAGCTTCGTTCGAACGAAAAGTAAACTCGTACGTAAATATAATACCGTATAAAATCGTGAAAGAAGCACCATAGCGTAAGAGATACAAGATCGACCGGGAAAGTCGATTCTCCGTACTTTCCCAGCCGATCATGAGTCTTTCTCACGTAGAAAAATATTATTCGTCAGCTTATCAATGAGCGTCGCGCCCTTCTCAACACGGTGCTTCGCACTCTATCCCGTTTGGCTCGCCGATACACAGGCACCATTCTTCGTGATTTCGAAACGAGATTTATCAGGCGTGGACCGCAAAATGTAGAAAAAACGTGTTATGGTACCCCATAAATCCCGAATTTCTCTGGAACCCTCTCTTGGCCGAGGACATGTCCGCCGGAGAGAAACTACGGACCACCGTAGTTATAGAAATAGGTTCTCGCTACCTTGGGTGTACCGGTGAAATTACCAATATCCCAAAGAGTGTCGATAATGGTCTTTCGCTACCTGACCGATTTCAGCACGGGACTCGCTTTTAACCGGGGCGTCATCGCCGGCACTGGTTCCAACTTTGGCAACGAACATTCGGCGTTTAGGTCCGTCCAGGTCTTGCCAACACTCGCGCCCAGTCTATCTTTGTATTTGTAGGCCGTTCTATCGACTACCGATTGAGTCTTTATACAATCATCGCCACCGAATTCGCAGACCCGATAGTGGTGCAAAATTGCGGCGTCCGATGGTACATTCAGAGTTCCGTGACCCGGTATGAACTCCCAGACAAAGTGATTGCCAGCCTCCACGACGTCCTGAGGCTTGCAAATGTATTTCGAGCGCTGCTTGTGCGGGTGTAACTTGGTTCTACGTCTGGTCTTCTTCAGGGTGATCAAACCAGCCTCTATAGGCGTCCGACTGGATATCACGAATGGGTCATCCGCCCACTGTAGATAGAAGAATGCATTCTGAAAGGAATACGCTCCGGTGGATTTCATGTTTGTACGACTGCTCATCCACCTGGAATATATAATTCGTTATTCGTATACCATTAACACGGTATAGCATACTCTCGATGTACCCTATTAGTAAACCATTCCAGAATATCAGTAGATACGTCTAACATGCGAAGGTACCAGGAGTTGACTATTAATTTACACGTAAATATAACGATAAAACATTATCTTCACTGTTCTCAGTGACAGAGTCCTCTATATCTCTAGATCAGTTGTACGCGCACAGCTACTCGTGAAACAAGGAATACTCGGAGTCAGCTTAAAGTTAACGAATCCTCACCTGATGAGATCAATGATAGTGTCGTTGTGCCTCGGTATAATGAACTCGTCGAGGTCCACCAACGCCACGTACTCGTATTTGTACATGGATCGATAAAGGCAATCGTTCAGAGCAGCGAACAGTCCCTCCGTGCGGATCTCTAGCTGCGAGATCATGTCTAAATGATGCCAAGGTAACACGGTCACGAGACCTTTAGCTTCGTAGTACTTGAGAGCGCATCCGGCCTCCGCGCCGACCGTGTCATTGTATAGAGTCACATGGCTAGCGCCAAGCAGTCTGTGCAACTCGATGAACTCTATGAGCTGTAGCACCTATAAAATTTTCACTCGTTAATACCAGCATCGTCGCGTCGAACACTGTCCTTCTTCCTTCTTTCCTCATTTCTCTCATTCCCTCTTTCTCTCTCTCTTTCTTCAATCCACTCGTCCATACTCTCCACCGATCAGTCATGCCTTTACCGTGACTAGACACCATCAACCGACTCGAACCCCCGCCTTCTTATCGAGAATAATTACTATCGACTAGCAAATAAAGAAGATAGCTTCCCGAGGGAGCTGAACAACCAGACCACGATGGTCTCGTTCAACGGAACGATCTCCCGATTTGCATAAGGCAGACTCCGCGCGCCTCACCGAGTGGGTTAATCGCGACGCAAACGTTCTCCACCTTTGCCGTTACGTTCGCATTGAATTTTCCCGAGAATCTTACTACTGCGATCAACCTACTCTGTTGTAATCGTAATGCAGGGGTTTCACGCAAACGGCCAGCAGCTCTTTGTCCTTCGCCCTGCCCTCGGGCCGGTTCTGCACGAGGATGCGATTCGTCGGTGGTGCTTTGAGCCTGGCCACCACGCTCACGGTTTCCGGCACCCTGTCAGCCGTCGGTGGTTCTTTCGGCAGTGGGCAAATCACAAAGCAGGCACTGTACTTCAAGTTCCAATTTTCTCTGATCACCTATCGGAACGATCATGGCAATCAGTTTCGTCGATGCCTTGTCGCGGCATGCTCGCGTCAAGGTCTAACTACGCGAATGCTTCCTGGAGCCTATAATGAGCGCTCTCCAGGTAAATGGGAATTACGAGCAAGTATGTCGCTTCTAATTTATCCAATATAGTTAGAGGGTGACCGAGAAGGGTAAAAATTTGCTCGAGGTATTAAAAATGGGGGAAAGAATGTGGATATTATGCGAGGAAACGAGTCAACTTCTACATGCATGGTGGAGTACTTTATTTTTATGAAAGTTATTATTCTTTTTCTCTTCTTTTGCGCGACTTTTTGTTCGTTCGTTTTCTTTTTTTTTTTTTTTTTTGTTCGTTGCTTTATGCTTTCGTCCCTCTTCGTGTCTTTATAATTGTCCCCGTTTCAAAGGCCACGTTACGGAGGTTGAGCTTTATTTCGAACTTTTTTCTCTTCCTTAACACACCTTCACTTTAGCAGCTACCGTTACGGAAGTAGTTACGTTCCCTCCGTTCTCCGGTCGATACCAAAGTCTACACCAAACACGCTCTGGTCCTCTGGTCTTTGTCGCGCTTATTATGCGTACCATGCCCTGATTTTTACCTGTTGGCGCTCCCGTGCCACCAACCCTGTCGTCGAAGTACGCTGAGTACACAAAGAATTTGAATCTGAGAATTAAAAAAGAGAAATACGATCTCTTTAGAGTTGGATCAATAATGATTCTCGTGCTATGTACAGGTAACGATAAATTAGCATAATCACGCGCAACGCGCTATGGCATGCGGCAGTCATTCACGTGGAGCGGTAAATGTTAATCGCATGGAAAAAGAAAGGAATTATTATGAAAACGTGTAACGACGAAAATAGCAACGTTTGTAGAAATAACATCCTGTTCCATATTGCTTCCGCTTTCAACGAATTCAACAACATTTTAATACAATTCCAAGGATTTTACGCGAGAACTGAATTCAGCGTTATAATAAAATATACGATGAATAGGGGATCTTACAGGAAACTCAGCCACGTATAAAAACGTGACCCAAAAGCAATCTCCCTTCGACTTTTTATATAAAACGGCTTTTTTCTTTTTTAGACTGTAGATTTTCAGCAAATATCAGCCTTTATGATAGATTCTTTAAATTATTTGCAATGTTCCTTATACAATTAATATTTTGATTATTAATCTCGGATAAAGATACTTAATAAATAATTTATTTTTCCATGTAATTAGGTAAATTAATTGTTACATAGACGAAAAAATTTCTATTTCTACTATTACTATTTTCGTCATGCAAGCAATTTTCTATAGGAGACTACTCGTTACGATCGAAAATCTATGTAAAAATTATTTAAAAATTTGTTACTCGTATGTAAATAATATTGTAAATGTCAATTTACAATAACAACAAAATTCCAATAATAATAACAGTGTACTGACTAATCAAACAAAAATAAAAAGGGTAATTACTTAGAAAGAAATTTAAAAAATTTAATATCTCGGGTTACAGCAAAAATCCACAATCGATCATAAGCAAACAAAATTCCAATTTCACATAGTTAAAAAATCACCAAAGAAGCTTCGTACCATCCCTTTTGCAACATTCAGTACAATAAAATCAAAGGAGCACGGTAAAAAGGCATCTAAAACAACTCAAAACCACCATCGATCATAGGCAAACAAAATTCCAATTACGCGTAGTCGAAAAATAATCAAAGAATCTTCGTAACATCTCTGTTGCAACATTCTGCGCAATCAAATCAAAAAGGATCCAAAACAACTCAAAACCACGATCAGACATAAGCAAACAAAATTCCAATTACTCGTAATTAAAAAATAACCACAGTCGTTTCTCATCATCTCTCTCTTGCAACATTCTACACAATGAAATCAAAAAGCATCTACGATAACTCGAAATAATCTTCTAAGCAACGTAAGAAAGCTAAAAGACCGAAGAGTCTCTAGATCTTCATGCTCCTTGATAAAGAGGATGGACTATGGCTAAACGTGAACAATTATCGGCGATAAATATTCAAGAAGCCTTATCAGCCCGTGAACACACCTAGTCTTCGTGACTGGCAACCATTCGGCGTGCGTGATCCTCAAGCTCTGATCGAGTTGCGGTAGACGAGCTTCCAGGTTGGGTGGTAAGCTCGGTAAACCTCTTGGGTCCGGTTGTATCGCGGTCTTCTGTCCTCCGTCTTCCCCACGCATCAATAATCCGATATGATCGTCGAAGCTGCCCTTCAATCCAATATAATCTTCAGCCTGTGAAAGCCAACAGAACGTTTAATCGCTACCCTCTGCACGCCGCCAACCGCGAATGTTATTTCATCACGTGAATTGCAGACGTTTCCAATCTCTTTCCTTTTGCTGAGGTACTGTTTCAGATAATTTCCAGACTGCTTTATCGTGACGTGTGTGTTGTTGATTGCGTATGTAGGATCTTAGGTTTGAGGACCTGAATGGGAAAGATCCATAAAAGAGGAAAGCAGTGAAAATGAGTTGACAGAACGAAAACCAGGTCCATTGGGAAAAGTGTTTGTCGACGACCAGTCCACCGATAGGTCTGCAATATCTTTGGCAACTAAAGGCGTGAAGGGATTTGTTTTATCACGACGTGTGTGTTGTTAATTACGTGCATAGGACCTTAGACTTGAGGACCTGAGCAAGAAAGACTCATAAAAGAGGAAAGCAGTGAAAATGAGTGGGCAAAACGAGAACCAGAGGTCCATTGGGAAAAGCGTTCTTCGATGAGCAGTCCACCGATAGCTCTGCAATATTTTTGGCAACTGAAGGCGTGAGGGGATTTGCCATATCGTGATGTGTGTGTTGTTAATTACGTACGTGGGACCTTAAACTTAAGGACCTAAGCAGGAAAGGTCCATAAAAGAGGAAAGCAGTGAAAGCGAGTGGACAGAACGAAAACCAGGTCCATTGGGAAAAGTGTTTGTCGACGACCAGTCCACCGATAGGTCTGCAATATTTTTGGCAACTGAAGGCGTGAGGGGATTTGTTTTATCGCGATGTGTGTTGCTAATTACGCATGTATGATCTTAGGCTTAAGAACCAGAGCAGGAAAAGTCCATAAAAGAGGAAAAATAGCTCTGCAATATTTTTGGCAACTGAAGGCGTGAGGGGATTTGCCATATCGTGATGTGTGTGTTGTTAATTACGTACGTGGGACCTTAAACTTAAGGACCTAAGCAGGAAAGGTCCATAAAAGAGGAAAGCAGTGAAAATAAGTGGACAGAACGAAAACCAGGTCCATTGGGAAAAGTGTTTGTCGACGACCAGTCCACCGATAGGTCTGCAATATTTTTGGCAACTGAAGGCGTGAGGGGATTTGTTTTATCGCGATGTGTGTTGCTAATTACGCATGTATGATCTTAGGCTTAAGAACCAGAGCAGGAAAAGTCCATAAAAGAGGAAAGCAGTGAAAATGAGTGGGCAAAACGAGAACCAGAGGTCCATTGGGAAAAGCGTTTTTCGACGATCAGTCCACTTGTCTGCAATATTTTCGACGACTGAAGGAGTGAGGAGATTTTCTGAGGAAAATTAAGGAAAGCTAGGGACGATCTTCTCGAGAAGGCAGAGTTATGTCGAGCTTGATAGCGAGAGGTTAGAGGAAGTCGTTAGGGGAGTTGTTTGCAGTTGTTTTGAGTTGTTCCTTTTATATATACACGTCACTGCTCAACCAACCGCTTTCTTTATACAATTTTATTTTAATAATATATATAGTTACTGCACGTATTTTCATGAAGTTCTGTGGTGGTTTCTTATTGTTCAATTTGCGATGGTTTGTTTTAGGGAAAATTGAAAATACCTTAACGATTGTTATTATAATTGTTTGAGTAGAATGTCGAGATGTATAATGAAGAATTGGAGTCGTGTGGTGTTTATATTTGTGTGGTATTATTGTTAATTGAATTTCAAATCATTATTTGTATGTTGTAAGCGAATTGACAATTTTTGGGGATTTTCAAATTAAAAAAGAAATTTTGCTATTTAAATTAATAGTTAATTAATAACTATTAGACATACACTCGTACGTCTAGAAAATGAAACACTCATATTTCTAACAATTTTCGAAATGAGAAGTTTAATACATTATGATTCATAAATACATGCTCATAGTTCAAAATGTGAATCTAAATACTAAAATAAGTGTAAAGAAAATAATTAGGAAAATTATCAATATACATATTCTACATATTTTCATTAAAACTAGAGATTGGAATTTTTGATTAGAATAATAACAGATTGATATGTTATCTGTAAAATTTGATTATATTTCCCAAACAATCCACTATTTTTCAACGAAGTATAACTCATACGAATTAATTACCACAGTGTGTAATTTATCACGCCGTAATTACCTGTACCCGTATAATTTGGAAACTCGTCCAAAGCATGACCCAGAAACGAAAGCATAAATATCGATTTGCATGACTCGGGAAATATATTTCGAGACGTATTTGAACGATATCAAAGATTGATCCTTATGATACAAGGTGCCGGAACAGTTATTGACTTTAATTTTTTTAGCCTCAGGGTTACAGATATTGACCTATCTAAGTTCCGAGATTCACGAAGTCGACCTTCGTTCGGTTTATTTAGGGATTCGAACGTTTAATATCGATGTTACAAGTCTTTACCTTTCCATACTAAACTTCAGATATTTTCAATGAAAATAAACCATAGTAACAAAATTATTCGTAACTCTAAAATTATAGACATCCATTCGAACAATTCCAAAAATGATCGTTGAACTTCCGAATGATAGAATTGAAAACGAGCAAAACTACGTACTTCGCTTTTTCCCAAAATAGTAGAAAATATTTTTTTAATACAATTATCCATATTAAATGCCTGACTTTAAAATAAAATAATTGTATATTATTACAACGTAAATTAACATGGAAATGAGTTACGAATTTATAATAATGTTTTCAAATTTGTGATGTAATCGTATCACTAATTAATAGCGCAATTAACATTGCCATATTAATATTAATTTATATTATTTAAAACTGTAAATGTCTCCATCCAATATTACTGTGATGCAGAAATAATTATAACTCTGTCACTGTGCGTTGATATATCTCCAATTTAATTATTAATTAATTACATTGTCCAAAGAATTTTAACTTTTACTCTAATCTGTAATATTCATGATTCTTATAGAGTTTACTTTTTTGAACACGAATTTGTAATCGAAATTCCTCCATCACCCTCAGTTTCCGAAAAATGTGAGTTTTCCTGGAAAGACACGATTTTTGGCTAAAATGAAGTATTACATAAAAATGAAGAAAGTTAGGAGCTTCATCGTTATCTTACAAGTTAGATGACAGTATCCTGAGTTTATCAATGTCCATAATTCTATTTATTTCTGCTCCTAAATAATTATAATTCGTTGTCAAAATTAAAAAATAAGCCATCAAGCACACTTTCAATACATTTTTACAAAAATTCCTTATCTGACAGTGAAGAAATAAATTCTAACCTAACTTTTAACCCTTTCGCTATGGCGGGCGTCGTCGCGAAACCTCTCCCATAGAACGAAGCGACGTGTCAAAGATGGAAATATTACGATCGTGCAGTCTTTAGCATTCGGTCTTTTGACAGAAATCTTTTTCAGAAAAATAGAAAAGAAAAATCATCGCAATAGAGCTTGTAATTGTTGGCGAAGAGAGCCAAGAGGAACGGTAACACTTGCCTCAACCCTTTGCACTCGACGATTTTTTGGCCAAAGAAGGATAGAAGTTCAAAGATTTTCTGTTGCAAAGCTGACGATATTTTTCTGAGCAGGAATAAGAAATCGTATGATAATTAACACGTAGAATTACTCGATTTCGATACTTCGCACGCCGTTACATTATTTGAAATTTGACATATTTATGAATATCGAGCTTCGAGATTTTATCAAATGGTGACTGAAAGTCACCTCTCGAGTGCAAAGGGTTAATATTTTACTCAATTTTTGTGGCCGGTGACTATAGTCACTCGTAGTAGCGAAAGGGTTAAGATGAGAATAAATCTCCAAACGTTTCTATTTCTAGCGTGATACTTAATTTTAGCCAAAACTACAGAGGAGGTAAAAATATTTAAAAATTACATCTCTACCAGCACGAATATCGATATAAATATTCCAAATTAAAATAAGATAGTTAATATTGACTCTCTATTCATCCACCTCATCGATATCTATTTTTTGATCCTCAGCCTTCACAATCAACGATTCGTCAACTCTCGAAATCATCAGCCGGACTGACGGGATCTCCAGTTTCGGGGTGATCCGTATCAATTGACTTAGCTTTGAAAATCGTCATCTCGTTAGTCCTCGGAGTCATCGATATCGGTCCATAATTAGTACTCCATAATTAGTACTATCGGTTCATACGATGCCTAGACACTTCGATATCGCGTGTCACCACTCGAGGATCGTCGATATCGATTCGTTGCTTTCCTTTTTTTCAGTGTTTGCCATTATCCTGTTCTACGCGTCGAAGCGATGTATCGAGTGTCCCTAGTGAATTTCGTGTGTGTGCACACCAGAAGTTACATTATACATCAAAGTTTGCGCGTGCGGATATATTTTCACATATGGTATCAGATAAGGACGCGTACTTCAGCTAAAGGGTTTCACACAAGTGTATTTGCACACACTTGCTGGCAAAAATGAGCAACGAAGTAATGACTAGCGAACTTTTGTGTGTTCTTTATCTTCTGAAGTACATGAATGAAAATGAAGAATAGACTTTACGCGAGATACTGGGAAAAGAAATTTTTGAATAGCTAAATTGGGAAATTGTAGAACTTAAAAATGGAAAAATAAGTTCGTGTATTATAGAACTTAAAAATAGTGAAATAAATTAACCTTTGCACTCGAGAGGTGAGCTTCAGTCACCATTTCATACAATTTGGAAGATCGATATTAATTAATATGTCAAATTTAATGTAATGTAACAGTGTACGAAGTATCGAAATCAAATAATTCTACAATTATATTATTATACGATTCTTTAGTTACTGCTTAGAAATGTATCGCCAGATTTTTAGTAGAGAATCTTTGAATTTCTACTCTTCCCTAGGCAAAAAATTGTCGAGTGCAAAGGGTTAATTTCAAGTGCAATAATTATTTTAATTCTGAGTTTAATATACGATTTTATGCTTCATACATAATGGATTATTTTAATAATAATGTATTCGTGTGTATAATAGTACCTGCTGTAATAATAATGATGCTTTTTTCATTATCCCCAGTG